TCCAAAAGCAGAAAAATGCTCAGCAAGAAAAGTGTAAATATTTGGCCGGAAGAATGCAAAGAAACAATAACCTTATGGAAAAGCTGTTAAACAGGGGACGGCCTGTTTGTCAAAGTATATTATTCCAAGGCCACCCTTTTTTTTCATTCTCGGGGGTTCAAACAAGGAAGAAAGGAAACGTATACAATCTCCAGACAGGAAGCAGCTTCTGCTTCAGCTATACGGTCCAGGGCTTCTCTCCTCCATAGGTGAAAAAACATAAGTTTCAGATCCTGCGCCACCGCTTCTTCATGCATCCTCCATAGCCAATCGAAGTAGGTCAAGTCCATATAATTGAGCGAAGCAGGACAAGTTTGAGCCAAGCCACTCATTCAAAGCGCGGTGTAAGGCAAAAAACAAACAACATCTTACCCACTCAGCAAAGTCACCTGGAAGATGTACGGACAACAAGAAATGCCAGTTTCCAGGCAGATTGGCCGCCAGCAATCGGCTGCAGATAAGATACTTCACCACCTCATTCATAGCAGCCTCAAGCCATGAAGACATTTTCCGGAAAGGGACAAACCGGCGTTTATCAAACAATTAGTGAAACCAGAAAGGCCTTTGCACATTCTTTTAAAAATGAATACCAGCCAAAGAGACATCGTCAAAAGGATCACCCATCAGGTTGAAGTCTTCATCGAGACAATAGGTTTTGAAAAGCTCCCAATCACTCAGGCTTGGGTCGACTTCCCGCGGGCTCCGGGCTGCATTTTCCAGATCACATGTTTTCAGTGCACATAAAATGCTTGCAACATATGCTCCGAATTCAGCAGTGTATTTCCTAGGATTTCATCCATATGAGTGAAATGAAAGCACATACAAGAAACGTATATATATATATATTAGATTTGAAACTTCCTCCGAGAATCTGGCTGGCTTTCAGCTTGTCCTTGATCCCAGTTGTTTGTACTTTCCCATACTTGTTGATGGTCTTCGTCACCAGAGCACCTCCTGGTAGGCTTTCCCTGACTGATTTGGCCAAATAGCCAGCTTTGACTTCAATGGCTCGTACAAGCTGAGAACAATTTCCGAGGAGGATGTGGCGCTTTGCTGTTGGCCCGTGAAAGGCCGCCATCCAAAATCCACCTTTCACAACCTGAGAAGAAATTGAACCCCCTCCCCACCACTATACACAGCAAAGACTAAACACATGAAAAGAACATATTCAACAAACACAAGCATGTTGGACAAATATTGAGTCATACAGGAGACCTGGACCTCTCCGAATAGCTGGTCAAACCGCCGTGTCTTCTACCGTTTGGCTGCTCCAGCAGCCATCGAACACCCATGCAGCTTGCCAGCCATCCCAATAGCATGCAGCAAGCTGCCAAGATATTTCCGTCCTTAACAAAATTGTAATTCTCATTTCCATCTGGTTGAAAGGCTGTGCGCCCTGATGTGCTTCGTGACCTTAGTAGCAAAGCTTTAGTCTTGAAAAATGATTCCCAAATAATGTTCTTTTCTGCTGTTTTCTTTGTACCTTCTCCTTGCTTCATTTTTCTGGGCAAGTGTCATTCTGCAAAAACTGTTGCAGCACAAAGCCATAAGCAGTAGTGCGGCAGGTTTCAGCTGCAATACTTGCGAAATAGCCAGCCTTGGACAACCCATTCAACACCAAATCAACACGCAATATGTACGACACGGGTTATTCAAGTTCTTTGGGCCGTTTCCCACTGAATTAAAGCCATCAAGATAGGGCCAGGCAACAGAAAACCTGCTGGACGAAGTAGGTTTTGCGTGTTGCGATCTTGCTCCACATCAATGGATATAGCAGAAAGGCCAGCCTGAAAGAAGGGTGCCAGAGCGCGCAGACCAACCCCTTTGAACATGTGCACACTCAAAACAAGGCAGGTAGCATTTCGAAGTGCAGCAGAAAGCTCTCCGGCTCCCGAGAACAACTCGCAAAAGTCCAAACTGTCGTTCAAGACGCCGTCCCCGGTAAAACGCAAAAGTATGACCGTCATGATCATAATTGGTGGCAAGCCCCATTCGATCATCTTCTTCACTTCAACCGCCATTCCCCGAATGCCACTTCAAATCTTGAAGCGACGGCGCTTCAGCTCCGAGTCCGGCATGTTTGCCAGTAAGCTGATGCGAAAATCTGAAATTTGCCAAAGCTCTAAGGCTTCTTTGTGAACCCTGTTTTTTGCCTCACATATGAACTTGCGGTATTCTTCTTGATACTCTCCCGGCTTGTAATTGTAATTGGTCTTCTTGGCTGAGCTGCTTTTGTTGACTTCCTTTGGTTTTTCTGTTTTATCCTTCTTTGGTTTGTTTGGCTTCTTTGGTTCGTCCTTTGGCTCCTCTTCATCTTGGTCACCTTCTTGATCAATAACCACTGGCGGAGGACATTTCAATCCTTTCAATGTCTCCAGCACCTGACACAGATCGAGCGGGCCCTTTAGAGAAAACAGGCATCGCAAAGTAACACAAACAATCAAAACTGTGTCAGGCTGGGTTAGTAACACAACCACTCAAGTATCACACAGTAACACAAACGAGTCTCATTAAAGACTCAGCCTTGTCCGGAAGCATGGCCACTTCCTTTCTCTTTTGTTTCTTGTCATGTGTAAATAGATTGCGCCAAACTGACTCCTTCTCATCAGGAACCTCACGATTGGCCTCGATAGCTGCCACCATATCAAGGACTCTTGATGAGGAAGAAGAAGAAGAGGGAGCACACGTGGACTGTACAGAAGAGCTTGTATCATCATCCAATTCTGAAAACTTTCCAGCATCAGCTTCCACAGCATTCCAATCCTGCAGCTTTGTTTTGCTTTCAGGTTTTGTTTTCTGATACTCACTGCTTTGGTTTTAGCCCAGCGCAAGAACAAGAGTGGACAAACACGAATGAATGCACAAAAAGGCTCCATGTCTTCCAACCGGTCTCGAATCCATTGCAAACCTGTGTTCTTGGAGGTGTCACTGCGTAGCATCAGTGGTCGAAACCGTGAAGCCTGAGTGTTGAAACTGATGACCGGCATGTGTGTCACACAATGTTCATTGTTTTCTTTTAAACCAGTTGCAACTTGTTCAATAGCACAGCAAAGGTACCAAACGCGCAATTGCAAGACCTTGCTTTGCTGCCCACTCTTCTACACATGGAAGCTTGGAATGAAGCCCTTGTGGAAATAACTTGTGCCTTTTGTAAAAGCAAATCACCGCACTTGCCATCAGGTGCTTTGAAACATATCTTCTTCCTTTTGGTACTTGGATCACAGCGCATACAACCTGGGAATGGTGTTTGTAAGACGCATTGCAAAATTGGTAATTGCACTTTACACAGGAAAGACAGGTGGCTTCTTTGTTCGACTGCACGTCCTTGAGACTGACTGCAGCCGTCCCCTTTCTTTTGAAACATTTGCCGCTGTGATCTTGCATGAATGACAGTCCAACCTTGCACACGGGTAGCTCTTCAACACCAAAACACAAAAAATAGTATCAGCTGCAAATAGGAACATAGCTGTAGAAGAAAAGTAAGTATAAACATCTGAAACCACAACTTGTAACGCAAAACGGGAAAAGCAGTGAAGTGGAAGAATCCCAAATCAGGAACAGGCACATGTTTTAAATGGTCGAACTTTGCGAAGGAATCGGCCACATCGTCCGCTGTATAGTGGCACTCACCCATGGCGAACAGCCACCACTAGCTGCCACTAGCTTGCAAAGCTACTAGAAATACACAGACAGTTGAAAGAAAACAATACGCAAACCTGTAGTTCCGCAGTTCTGTCAGCCAAAAGGCTCCCAAACAATCACACGGTGAGACACTATTTTCTGGACATTCATGTGAGGATATCTTGCAAACAAATCTCGAGTCACACACACACACACACACACGACAATCCACTTGTATGGTGCCTGTTGTGCCATCATCAAGCATCTCCAGGCCATCCAAGCCCATGGCCATCAACGCTGGATCAGCAAATCGAACTTAAGGTACATGTAGATACCGTAGCCTATGTTACGTGTACCTTTTTCCTTTTCTTCTACACTTCAGGCATCTAAGATCACTGTTCACATCTCCGAAATGAACGTCAGTGAGTGTAAAAGCACCCTTCAACTCTAGTGCACCCCCATGGAGGAGCATATTGTCAAATGGAGCCCCCAGACTGCGATAGTCCATGAGACTTATACTGTACAGTGTTGTAAAGCAAACCCTTCCTTCAGCAAGGAAGTCTGAAACACAAAGCCAGTCAACTGCTAACCTAAACAACTGTCTCGTGGAGGTGGCTGGGTTCTTGAAACCTTCTCTCTGAAAATCGCCAGTAAGCAAAGCAAACATCATATGTGTTTGTGTCTCTGGGGCTATTTGGAAACTAGAATTAGCTTGGGGGTAGCAACCAAACACTGTAAATGTTTTTGTCAGAGTCCTGGTAAAAACCCGGTATCACATGTGAGAGTAGAATTAGCTTGGGGGTAGCAACCAAACACAGTAGATGTTTTTGTCAGAGTCCTGGTAAAAACCCGGTATCACATGTGAGCTAGAAATAGCATGGTTAGCTGCAAACACGATGGATTTGTGGCTCAGGACCTGGTAACAGAACCAGAAAGAAATAGAATGCGAGTAGCAGCAAA